TCCACATCAACTGGTAAAAGGATGACAAAACTCAGAAGAATTCCACATACAAACCCTAATGAGATAGTTCAATTACCCACTGAAAAACAGAAAAGGCAAATCAGCAGGTTTTTATTCAAAAAAAGGTCCGAGTCTCTCAAGTAAGCAAAGACTAGTGAACAAATGAAACGGGAGAAGGAATGCCTGCTTTCCAAGAATGATTTTATGAAGAATCCTTAAAATAAGTAACTACAGAAAACCTGCAGGTAAATGAGGCTGTGCCACTTGGGCTGAAGGGGAGCGGGAAGCCAGGAGGGAGGGAGCGCCCGCACCCTGCTCTAGCAGTCAGTGAGTCTGGACATGCTGGGGGTGAAGCAGAGACAGGGCTTCCCTCTGTGCCAAAGGAAAAAGTCCACTCAAGAACCCTGCCCGAAAACGGACCACTCTGCACAGTGAGAGCCCTGTCTTTGACCAATGCCAGGATTGTAGTATCAGATAATGACATTCTTTTTTAAAAACATTTCTGTTTTGGAGAAAAATCATATTTCAGATTATAAAAGTAAAGGGTCATGCTCCTCATAACAGAAAAGGTATAATTCAGGACCAAAAGCAATAAATGGAACACAGAGGTATCTTATAATGTTAAAGGTACATAATAAGTTGTAATAAGTATGAATCTATGAAGAAATAATCTGGTATCAACATTCATAAATCGGAAGCTTCAGGAATTTAAGGAGATAAAGGTAGAAGCATATTAATAAGAAACCTTAATCCACTTGTCTCAGACAATGACTAAGTAGACAAAACAATAAATATGGATATCAAACTTTATATCCTAGAAGCAGAGAACACTTTTTATTTTCAAGACTACAGAGTATTCATATAAGCTAACAAAGTGACAAGGAAAAACTATTCCATGTCTAAAGGTAGATGTAGGGTAATCAATGAGCATAATACATTAAAACTATAAAGTAATAACAAAATCAGAAAACAAGTTCAATTACATAGAAATTTAGATACTTCCTCTTACCTATGGAAAAATTATTTTGGAGAAAAACTCCAAAATAAATTTTAGAATACCTTGAAAGTAAAAACAGTACCACTACTACATGTCAGAATCTATGAGATTGGGTAAAGTAGCACTTAGGAAACAATGCAGAAACTTTAATGCTTACTTTAAGAAAAAAGATAAAAACAAGCCCATTCAATAGAGCTTACAAAAAGAGCAACAAAATAAACTGAAGAAAAGCAGAATAAAATAATTGATAAAGAAAAATGTAGCAACAAATTAAGAAACAAATAAATAATAAACATAAGCCCAAAATAAATGTTATCCAAAAAAAGAGGAAGTGAAAATACATAAAATAAGAAATAGGAAGAAATTATGTTTATAGGAAAAGTTAAATAAGTCAGTTTATTCAATTTCCGTTGAACTTGAAAATCCAAATATAGTAGGTAATTTTCTAGGTAAATGTAATGTGCCAAAACAAATTCAAGTATGAGTAAAATATACAAACAATTTGAGTAGAAAATGGTTTCAAAAGATGTACTGCAAACTCTTCTGGCCAAAAAACATATACAAGGACCAAATGGTTTTGTTAAGATTTCTTACAAATCTTCAAAGAGCAAATAATTCTATAGTGTAAGGAAAGAAAGCAAGGCTCAATGTTTCTCTCTCTCTCTCTCTCTCTCTCTCTCTCTCTCTCTCTCTCTCTCTCCTCTTTCTCTCTCTTTTTCTTTAATACCTGGGATCAAACTCACTCCTCAGGTTTGCCAGGAAAGCACTGTGCCCCTGAGCTGTATCTCCAGTCCTCGATGTTTTCTCTTAAAAAACAAAGATGAACTTGATTCCAAACTTCAATGAACATTTTCATAACAAAAATTATTGTAGATCAATTTATCTTATAATTATTGATATGAGATACTCCTAAATAAAACATTAGTAGATTCAAGCATCATACTAAAAGAAAATGATGCCCTGGGCAAGTAAGATCTTTCCAGTAAGAGGAGAATTTTCAAAATTAGGAACAGTATTTATATAATTCACTACAGTAATAGATTCAAAAGGACAAAAGTCATAAACACCTCCACATTTTCTGAAAATGCATATAAGTTTAAAATTTCATATGTGACTTAAAGAATCTTCATCAATCGTAAATACACAAGTATTTCCTTAACCTAGTGAAGTATATTCATTATTAGGCAAATGTAGAAATATTTAAATCATCCTCATTAAATTTAAGAACAAAATAAATGTTTTCATTTTCACCACTATTGTTTAACACTATTATACATATTTGACAATGAAATTAGGGACAAAAATAAATTAGATATACAAAAACAATACAATAAAAGATAAAATTAAATATAGATTATATCATTTATACCTAGAAAACATAAAAGAATGAATTGAAAATTGATCGCAAACAATAAGTAGAGATATTGACATAAAATTAAGATATAGAAATTAACAGGATTCAGATAATCAACAAGAGTAAGGTATGAAATCTAATGGAAATAAAGTTGTTTTTTATAATTTTAAATTAAAAGCAAAGTAATTACAAGTGAAATAATAATAAGCATATAAAAGTTCTATGGACAGAACTATAAAGTTATCTTTAAGTGAAACAAAGCTTTGCATTAATACAGCTAGCTCATTGATAAAAGATTCTATATCATAAACAAAGTCCTATCATTAATTCAGCTAATGTGATCTTAATATAATTTGGAGGAGAATAAGACAGGGGATAAATCAGTTTTTTTTTTAAGTTAAAATGAAAGTGAATAAGCAAGAATATCAAAAATGAGAGGAAACAAAACTATAAAAGAATAGTGAGGGTTGATTGATTCTAGCAAATGTGTAAAGACAAATATGGATATACCTAAAAATTATCATGGTGTATATTGACAGTGTGATCAAAGTAACAGAAATCCAGAAACAGAGTAATATGCAAAGAGATTTCCTCTGTCACCAGTGGCACCCATCATCAAGAGGGAAAAAGAAAGGAAGAGAAACAAGAGGCAGAGAAGGATGCAGACGAGTGGGAAGGGAGGAATACAGGAGTGGACGTCAGCAGTTCTAAATTCATTAAAAGAAACCATAAAGATTTTTAGAAAAATATCTTCCAAATGCCTAGAGAGTAGGCCTTTCTGATTATAAAATAGAATTCAAAAATGATGGCCTAGAGTGAAGGCTCAGTGATACAGCACTTGTCTAGCATACTTAAGTCCTGAGTTTGATCTGGCCAAAACCAAAACAAAACAAATCAAAAGTTTTAAAAAGACTGATAAATTTGACCACATAAATATCAGAATAGCAAGAATAAAGGAAAAAGTCAGACTAACCATGGAAAAGCAGGAAAAAGAGTTTAAGTTCTCTTAAAAAAGAAATCATCACAAATCTACTTGTAGAAGACACAAGGGTATAAAGAGCTCATGAGACCAAAATCCCCACCCTAAACAGGACACATGGAAAGGGGCATCGCAGCCCTGGCATTCCTCAAGGGTCACAGATCCTGTTACTAACTGAGGCCTTGTTTTAAACTGCATCACCGTTCCCTTTTCCTTCTGCCAATGCTGGTTTCCTTTGTTCCCACAAGCCTCAACCCAAGGAACCTTCGGCATGAAAGTCTCCAAGTTTCTGTTTCCCAGCATGAGGTGATGTTCTTTTGACCTTTGGGAAGGGGGTTATAAAAATGAATGGCTAATAAAAACAAACCTGAAATAAGATTCTTTCCATTTCTGCCTATATTACTGATGTTAGCTCTTGTCCTTTTCATTAGGACAATGAGATTTCCCTTTTGTACTCTGTCTTCTAATTTTATTCATGGCTTCTTATGATTGGAAATTTTGACTTTTTAGCAGCACATCTGTTAGTCAACAGCATTTTGAACACATATTTAGTGTGTGCTAAGTATGTTGGAAAGATTTCTTGGGTATCAGAATATACAGGGATATATAAACTTGGACTATTGCCCTGAAAGCCATAAAATACTGACTTGCCAAGATTACTGTTAAATAGGGTGACTTTAAAGTACCTAATTAGTGCCCAGACTACAACTGCTTACATTTAAAAAAAAATGGAGAAAGACTTATATCATATGCAAATATAGGAAAAAAATGCTAAGTGCTAAATTGACAATTATTACTATAAAGGTTAGAAGAAGATCATTTCCGGGGGATGTGGTCATGACATATTGATTGATAAGTAAGAACTGAAGCCAGAGCCTGTAAGGTAAAAAGTCTACGGAGAGCAGTTGGAGCTTCTTCCAGGGGAGGGAGAGCAATGATGTGGATGCAGGAGTGAGAGGAAAATGTTTGAATATGGGCAAGAGCCCACCTGGAGTAGAGGATTTCAAGTTGTAAGGATAAATTGTGGTCAGATTAGAAAGAGCATTAAATGCCCCACTAATGAGTTTGGGTTTTGCTCATAGGAAGCTTCTATAGATTTATGGGAGTTAATAGCATGATGAAAACAATATTTTAGACAGTTTGGCAGCCAGCCACATAGATTGGGGTCAGCAAGACAGACAGGAAGGGCAGAGATGGGCTTAAGCTATAGGCCAAGCATTAGTTACTAGGCACCAATAGGAAGCTAGAAGTGGAAAGAGAATAAAATAGGAGAGAATTTTTGGAGAAACATGAAAAAAAAAAAAAAAGAACTGGAAAAATGTTCACTTTAGGGCATGTCTCTGCTGTCACTTGTTGACAGAGAGGGCGGACAGAGCCCAGATCCATGCTGATTGATCCCAGCAAGCTAGAAGTAGAATTCTAATGGTGGTGGATAATCCCAGCAAATCCCAATGGGCCTTTAATTTCACTGAAATTCAGGCTATTTCTAGGTTCTGGCTATGAGGCTGAAACTGAGTTTTTTAGCCCACAACACTCCAAGTGGCTCCTGCTGGTCTGAACTCAGCTCCCCGACCTCCTGCCAGCTTGAATTCCATTGTGCCCCACTCTGACATTAAGTGGAGCCACTAAGTGGAGCCAGCCCTCAGGTGCTCTGAATTATGACTTAGAATGGCCCCTTTCCAAAATGGCTACTGGCCAATCACCCTCTCCTGGGGACTTCTGAACCTGAACAACTCACCAGCTACTGCAGTCCACTCCACAGTGTTCACTGCTCAGTTCCACTAGTGTGTTTCTCTATGAAGGTCTATGGGGTCACCGGGGGTCACTGTGCAGGTCCAGCTGCCTCTCCCATGCCTCGTGCAGGGGCTCAAGGAGAAAATGCTGCTTGCCACCTCCCTCCTCTGCACTATGGTCCTCCTCTTCACTCTCCCCATAAACTCTAATTCTCATTTCAGATCTTTTTGGGGTCTAAGAACTCACTTCTCTCTTCTTCTTGTCCTCATACTGCAGCACTGGATTCCAAATCAGAAGGTGTTTCTCGGCTGTTCACCATTCTACCATCATCCCAAAAATCTCGCTGTCAGAACTGAAGGCATGAGGTAAAGTGGGAGACTTTGTACTGAAGGGCAAAGTTTTAAAAAACGAATGCTTGGTCCATCCATGCCCTTTTATCTTAAGAAAAGGAAATGGAGCTGGTGAAGAAGAGAAAGAAAGTTAAAGAGAATGAGTGGGAGCTGTTGTAGCAAGTACTTAGAGAATCAAAGGCAAGGAAAAGGTCAGAAGGAAGGTAGGGACAGAGGATCCACTCTGCATCAGATGCTGCAGAAACGTGGATGAAAATGAAAAATAGATGCCTATGTACTCAGCTCTGGAGACATCAGTGTGCTTGCTGCATGTAGATTCAGAATGATAAGGTGTTAGTTGCAGAACAGAAAAGAATGGGGTGAGCTGTGGGCTTGAGATCAGATTCTTTGGGTTTCAGTCTTATGTCTTCCACGGCTTGCTGTGCAGCCTGAGCAAGCTGCTTAATTCTCTATGCCTCTAAATCCCAAATTTTCAAGTAAAGACAACAATAGTTAACTCAGTGCCTACCTCACAAAGGTTTGCAAGGCTAAAAACCAGTGTGTATGAGTTGCTTAACACAGCATAGATTCAGAGTAGGAGCTCAAACATGTTTTTTTGGTTATAGTATTACAATTTTTGGAAATGGATGCTGGTTGGCATTTGGCCAAGGATCTTGGTAGGAAAAAACATAGCAAAACTAGCAAGAAGATTTGGGAAATCATCCCAAGCACAGGTGCATGCTTATCTGCAGGCATTTGGGAAGATGCCGTAACAGGAGGGCAAACTGAAGGTACCACGAGATGAGGAAATTTAAAAGTGGGAAGAAAGAGAGGATGAGTTGTCTAAAAACTCAGGTGACTAATCAGTTTGAACAATAAAGCTACAGTCTGGAGTAGCAGACTCTTCGTGTCCAAGGTCCTTTTAGATCTACATTCACCTAGAATAACATTTGATCAGGTTGGTCTTTCAGCTTTGACTTGTTTGTGTATGGAATCACAAATCATCAAAAGCAACTTGCCCTCTCAATAATAATTTTAAAAATCATTTAAACAAAAAGTTTTAAATAGTGTGAACAAGCCAACTAAATCTGGTAGGTTGGGTCCTTGTTTCCCAAAAGCTGCTGGCTGATTGGAGCAGCATGTATTTGTTCTAAAGAATGATCCTGATAGCCAACCATTTATGCCTTCATCTGCTTTCTGGGTTTTCTCTGTGTAGCAGCTTCTCATGGTGCAAGAGATTCAATTATTGATCTAGAAAGTGAATAGGAAAAAGTTTACCCAGCAGGCCTACAAGCCTATTTGATCCCAAGAGAATATGAGGGCATCAGATTTTTAAACAAGCAAAGAGAAGAACCTTATGAAGATAAAGTGTTGTGTGCCATAGCTTGTTATTCTGAGCAGCTTTGAGGCCACCTGCCTATTAGACTTGTTTCTGTTTTGGCCATCAATACTGCCCTGGAGATGGCTTATTTGTAAAAGAAGCAGGATGTAGGATATGCATTCATTTGTAAAAGATGACACCACACACATTCTGTAGCTAATACTGTGTTCGTGAACTTTACCGGTGACTAAATACATTTGATTTCTTACAGCTGAGCTTCAGTAATTGGTTTTTGCAGCCTCAAACACATCCAGCAAGGAAAATATGAGAAACCTCGCTCTCTCTCACTCTGCTTTTTGAAATGGCTTTTGCTGCAGATGGGAAAAAACCATCTCAGCTCTGAGTTGGCAGTTCTCAAGGTCAAATCTCAGAGAGCTGGCACCTGGGAACTCAAAGGCGAGGAGCAGGTGGCTCTGGAAAAATAAGTGACCCTGAGGGTAAGCAGCCAGGGAGGAGAGAGGCGAATGGCAGTGAGGGGATGGTGGTGGTCAGAGAAAGGGGTGACTAGGGTCCTCCAGACCTCAGACTCACACCCACAGTTCACAGCAGTTTAGTGTGTTTTTTCCCCCAGGCCTGATACAGCCAGGAGGTCTCTGGAAGTGCTCTGTAAGCCACCAAATCACAGAGCACAACAAATTCCAGACATAACTACCATTGGGGGCTGGAGAATCATTATAATGTTATGTGAGATTTGGCTGTGAAAAGAAAATGTGGGCTCATCCAATGGATTGATTAGTTAATTTATTCAAAAAAAAAAGGACTAAATGAGTGGCATTTGCTTTGGCCTTGAAAGCACTGAATTATATACTGCAACAGTTTGGTTCATTGGGTCTCACAATTCCAGGAGAATTGGACTGCTTGATATACCTCTGATGTCTTCTACATTTATAATCTGTGACTAAAATGAGAACTACAAAAATGCATCAATGTGATACGCAGAATAAACGTATGTTTGCCTTCTGTACTGGTTTAAGGCAGTTACGATATAAGGAAATGTGTCTGTCATTCTTCTGTCACTTTCCCTCCTCTTTTAGTTGTCCACACAATATGTGTGGCTTTTTCCCTTTTTCCTGGGCTCTCCTACTATGGGGCACCTCAAGTTCCACTCTTTCCTAATCCCTTTCTTCCCTGAAACTCATTTTTAAAATTATTTAATCCTATACTAATAGAGAAGCACTGGTGAATGATTATTTTCTTGATGCTATTTTCATTTTCACAACTCCTTGATTATAGTAGAATATTGTATAAGAAATAGGCCTTGGAAGGAGATTTGGGGGAGCAAGACAGTTATTCCCAGGACATCATAAATCATATTGTAAAGGCAATTAGTACAACCATCTGCCTCTCACTCTCTCCTTTTGTTTTTGTCATCACCAATCATAGGACCTTCTAAGTGTCAGGCTACTGTGCTGGTCCTGGATGCCAACACAGAAGTGTATGCAGGCTACCCACAATAGGGTGGGTGTAGCACTCACACCCATAATCCCAGCATTAGACCATGAATCAATCACAAACTTTAGATGCCTGTCTCCATGACTACATGAGGCTTTTGGGGTGCACCCAGACACAAATTATAACAACGAACCTAACAATAATAAAGATAATATTAGTTGTTATAGCTTACATCTAAAATAACCCCTAAAAGTCTCAAGTGTGTGGAAGATCATTGGATCATGCAAACACTAAGCTCAGTGGTGGTGGGTTCAACCTGATGAACTCATAGTTGAATGAGCTGTTAGGAGATGGAGTCTGAAGAAGTTGATCACTTGGGGATATGACCTACAAGGGTCTTCTCTATGTTATGTTATATTCTCAGAATCCTGTCTGTTAAGGAAGGAGACTTCTCTCTTCCCTATCCCTTTTGCACTTCTTTCTTCTGCTGTTTTCTGCCACCATGAACTGTTGCCCTTTGTCCTGTGCCACCCTGACTTGGAGCCAGCTGAGTATAGACTGAAACCTACACAAACCATGAGCTAAATAAACCTCTCCATACCTAATGTTGGACATCAGGTATTTTATCTTAGCAACTAGAGAAAAGTAACCAAGTCATAGATATTCTCTCTTTCTAATATTTCATTCCAACATTCAGGAAGGATAAGTTCCAAGAACCATCAAAGGTATCCTGGAGCCAGAGATTTAGCTCAGTGGTATAAGGAAGAAGACCCTGTCTGGGAAGCACAAGATCATGAATTTGATTCCTGTACAAAAAAAAAAGTATCCTGGATACATACCAGGGTCACCCAGGACAATGACTACCTTGTTTCCTTCTTGGTACTGAGAAACAGACTTTGAGGTGGGATTTAAAGCATACAGTCCAAGAGGGACAATTCTCTTTCCTCTGTTGTCTACTGAGTGCTGAAACATGGCCTCACACATTCTGTGTTCAACATGCCTTCAGCACTGAGGAGTATCTGCGCGCTTGGCTAAGGAAGAGGGAATATTCCTTTAAGCTCTTTGGGGAAAGCTTTTAAAGTTCTTAATATTTCCAGTGGTCCAGATCAACATACAGGATTCTGAGAATATAATGTAACATAGGAGAGTCTGCATGCAAAGTTGGGATATACTATGTGACCACACTTGGTAGCTATTGCCTATGCAGCTAACAGAAAGGGAGACATTAATTTTTAAATTCATTCTGTTTCTTTTGTCTAGGAGTTAATCTAGATCCTCATTTATTCTCATGAACTCTCCTATTACTGGACCTCCCTCTTTTCTAGTTCACTTTCCCAGAGGCTATCAGATTGATCTTTCTGATAAATTGTTCTGGCCCCTTTCCTGCCAAGAATCACCATTGGCTTCACATTGGCTTTTTTACCCTCTGGGGCCAGCAGGCATCACAAATGAATGAAGTGGCTGGACTTAGTGAAATGGAAACACTTTGATCTGCAAGCCAGGAAACAAACATAACTTCGATTTTTTTCCGTGTGTCTTAAAAACGAAGGCCTGAATCTGTAGTTGATTTCCCCAACTTTCATTAAGACTTGGATATAAGAAATAACTCACTTTGTTCTTTATGATATGAAAAAAATCCTGCCAGGTAAAGGATTGTATGAGTTAACGTGTTGGTTTGATTGTTTAAACAGAGAGCAAAGTACAGTAGCTAACATAAGGTGTATTATTCACATGAAGTCTACAGTGCGGAGAGTTCCAAGATGTCAAGTCTTTGAGGACTCAGCTCTACAAGCTCAAAAGGGTACCTCGGTCTCTTCTAACTTGTTTTCAAAATATGGTCCAGGGATTCCTGGCAATGTCTATGGCCCTCTTAAGGATATGCAAGTTAAAATAATTTTATAAGGATACTAAAATATCTTTGCCATTTTAATTTTAACTCTACCATGAATATACAGTACACTATTCTAAAGGTGATTAAAAATAACAATGGGAAACCTTGAGCTAACAGGATCACTTCAGTGTATTTGGATGTCTTTCATTTATTCACTTAGTAACTATTACTAAATATAGTAGTACAATTTACATTTACTCACTCAACAAAAATTGGTAGCTCATTTTACAGGCAAGATCTAGTGAGAGCTGCTGAGGGTACAGTGAGATGCAGAGAGATGACCTCTGCCCTCATAAATTTAATGGTCTAGAAGGGACATCAAAGACTAAACAATGAGAAACACAATTATTCAATTATAACTGTGATAATGTT